CCAATACTCAGAAATACCTAAGATGATTAAATGTAAGTGTAATGCTCAGTTTCATAATATATTAATGCTTTTTCCCAAGCCATGCCTGGAAGGACATGCAAAAAAAATTGAATACAGCCACCTACATGATGATATATCAATCCACAAGTTGTCAGAACAATACAGACATCCAGGGCAAGAGATTAAGGAGACTGCTTGTAGTTTCAATCTCAACAGGCCCTTTGTTTCAGTTATCTGAAGTGAAAAGGCAGCTTTTTCTTCTAAAGCTACAACTGTTACATGAATTTTGAATATGTGTGCCACAAATGATATGCTGGAAATTGATAATACATTAAAACCCCCACCTGTGCACATACAGCCTCACTGAGGTCAGTGTGATGTTTCACGTATTTAAAACTAAGCATCTGCAAAGTTGTTCTTCTGCAATTTGTTCTAGAATGAACTTTAGCTGTGAACATCTTGCAGAGTCATTTTTTCAGAGCTTGGGTTATTTTGCCCCATCAGTTAAAGTCAGCGCTGACACACGTATGAAACCCACCTCTAGCTGCTGGGAACAAAGCTCTTTCTCAGTATAGAAGACAAACTAGAACACCTTATCTGTCATCTAATCACAGCACTAGGAGGTGTATGTAGAGACTGACTCAGAACATAATGTGTAACAGCCAGCTTATAATGAGCAGGACATGCATGAAAAACACCAGCTTGTCAGTCCTGAAAACTGACAGTCTCTATTCATAAAATCCCCACAGATAAGTTGGCTCCAACTTCATTTATATCATTCCCACTAACATGCCTAAAGCCTGAACAGAATTACTTTCCTTTTGGATAGGTAAGCCTCGTTCACTTCCTTTTAGAGAAAGTTAATGCAGAGGCCAATTAATTCCATTCACTTTACAATCCAGCTATTTCCTCTGAGAAGTGAGTGTAGGAAGCTGTAACAGGGAAGTAGGGGTGTCATTGTCTTTCTTGTAAGTAATTCTGAATGAGCAAATCATTTCAAAGAAGCAAAGAACTGAACGGAATGTACCCAGCTGACCACAGATGAAAGGTTTCATGGACATTTATTAATCTCAGAAGCATCATGCTGGATTTCTGAGATACAAGAAAAAGAAAGATACATGAGTTTCTTAATGTGAAAGTCTGGCTTGGTCACTCATTATCTGTGTAGTTTGATAATTACCTATTTCCTAGCTAAATTGCTTTGGACATTTACTTTGAGGTAGCAGATTAATGAAGTTCTTCGAAAACTTCAGGAACTTGAAAATCTTCAAAGCTTCCGGAACAAAATTTTCCAGGTCGGTGGATATTGTACTTTTAGAAATCCAGAAGACAGCACACATTTGTACCTCACCTTGTAAAGAGGTGGTCAAATTAGATTAACACTTGTGTAGGTCTTTGAGTCCACTAAATTTAAATAGTGAAAATAATCAGTCCAGTAAGCATGAACCTGTGATTTACTATACAGAAGCAATAAAGGATTTCAAAAGAGCTGATAACTAGGCTGTCAAAGTCAGCGCACTAGATAATACCGCTTCTCTTTGGTTGTCTTTAAAAGTAAAATCATTGGAACATTGGTGTGCAGGGTGATGTGCCTGGAACTGAACAACAGACCTTGCTTTCTGCTAACACTTGTTTCACATTGGCACAACTCCATTGGCTCTAATGGAGTAATATTAGTTTATAATACTCTAACAAGAGACTTAGTGAATATTATTGTTGTAGCACCTTGGGTAGGTCTCTGCATATCATCTTGTACCTCAGGGGAGCTGCCAAAGCTTCCCAAGGGTCAGGCGAGCACCTATGGTCTCCCAGCCCACCCAGTGCTCTCAGCTCTCAGGTTAGTTTCAGCAGCACAAACCACAGTCACTCCAAAGGACACATTGCAATATGATCTTCAGAGAAGTGACATGCTCACAGAGTGCTGTACAGCTTTTCTTACACCACCACTCACTCAGCCAGAGGCAGCCTTCACTTGGCAGAGACAGCGTGGTTTTGATAACTGTCAGATTTGCTCTTTGCGTAACCACCCGGCTGTCAGTCACGGTGCTGGGTCGATGGCACTTTTTTCATAGGCATCATTTCTTTTGATCCTGCAAAGCTTCAAACTATTTTCATCCTTTCTCAAAACTTTATATTGATTTTATCTTGTCATAATGGCAGAGAAATGTAACAATCCCATCCCTGGAGACCTCAGTACTCTGCATGCTGGGGAGAAACATGTTCAGGCTGTGCTATGCATGCAGGAAGCCTCCTAACATTAGCATTCATTAAGGTCTCGTAGGATTAGGGGGAAAGGGACTGTCAGCATAGATTTAACACATTCCCAAGTACTGGGGCTAGCCTGGATTGAAGGAATGGCAAGACTAATGGCACAAAAGGAGTTTGGCATCAAAGCTCCATGCTGCAGGGCATTATGTCCCTGTACTTGGTAAACTGGAATCCACCAGGCCGGCACTGGCTGGGTGCTGGGCAGTGACCACTACACCCTCCTGCTAGAGCTGGGCTTAGCAAATAGTTTCCCAGCTAGGGTGTCATTACAGGCACAATGAAGCAGGTTGGGGGTATCATAAAGAGGAAGTTTTTCACTGTTGCATTAAAGCAACTGCATTTTGTATAATTTCAAGTCCAAGCCTATGGAGGCGATTAAGCAGAAGGATGAAAGCACCACAGCAACTTGGTGCAAGACGTTACCACAAAAGACAAGATTTTTGTAATGCTACAAAAACTTTATAGTGAACTATGGAAGACTAGCTATAGGGAAATAAATAAATAAATAAATAAAACAAAATCTTTATTTTATTATAAAACTGACTATTACCACATTGACTAGAAAGGTTCAGGTAATGCACAAATTGCTTTACATTGTAATATGGCAGCAGCTTATAAACAGCAGAGAAAAACAAACTAATGCAGGAGACAGACCAATAAATGCCAAGAAGTTGTAACATTTCAGAATGTAAAAAAATAAAAATAACCATTCATTTTATATATATAAACCTGTACTTCAAACTGCATCATGGGAAAATACACTAGTGAATGTAACAGCTAACATACAGTATTACATGCAGGGCAGTGACAACTTTATCCTTCAGATACAGATATTGAAATCTCCACAAGAAATAGACCTCTTCAAAACATTTAGGATCCTTATTTCCTGTCCTTCTTTGAACAACGTATTTTATATTACTTATTGATAAAGTAACTATCCTGTTAGGATAATCATCATTTAATAGCGGCAGAACCCATAGGATTCTAGTGATTCCATTTATGGATAAGGCCTTTCATGCAATAAAAGACCACTAAGTTTTTGCAATAAAGTCATGATAAAATGGCTTGTGTGGGAGTTGGAGGCATGAAACTCCATGGGTAAGAGCAGAGTACACAGCAATATACTCTGTACTCAATAGTATTGCAACTGTTTGAATTAAAGAACTGTGCAGGAATGAGGAATAAATCCTGTTGTATACTTTTGTCCTTATTTGCCTTTTATTAAGAAAGTGAATGTTAGGGAAAGTATACTTTAATTATCCTAATTTTTAAGCCCTGTTGTTATCCTTGTTACAGACTGCCACCTTACTTCTCAGTTTAATTCACGACACTGGCAATTTGATAAAGACTAAGCAAGTTTCTTTTCCCTTAAGCTGCCTTCCCAAAGCTCCTCAACTCAGCTAACAGGGCAGTTCAGTTGGGGCTGTTGTTCCCCAGGTATCCTGTATCATACTCAAAGACTGGAAGCCAGCTCTTTCCAAGCCAGCCTGTTGAACAGCTTGAGGCTATAATAATTTCACTGTGCACTAACAAGAACTATACATAACACTCCACAGCTCATTATCAAGCTCTACCCTGTACAGTCCCTCAGCTGCACTAAATCAGTATATTTGCATAGGTATATGAATGTGCACAGTATTTTTCTTTCCTTTTAACACTGCTAAGCACAGCTGAACTAACCAACCACATTTTCCCAATAAAACAGTACAGGAGATTTTCTTGGTGCTATTTCTGGCTCAGGAATTGTTCAAGGGATGTGTGTAGCAGTTTCTCCACTGGTTACCATAGGCTTTGACTTTCCCAGTTGATATGTGTTTTTTCAGTGAAGGCAGCAGCAGGGTTGTCATCTATTTCTGCAAGTTGTGTTAAACAGAAAAAGAATCTAGAGAGTGATCGATTATTTAAAAGCAAATGGCACTGAACAAACTTCAGTTGAAGAATTAATACCCTTATCCAGGTTATACTGGGTGATTTTTCTCCTGTGGTGTGGGCCAGAAAAAAAAATAAAAATATCTCTCAGTATTTAAATGTCACTTGATTTCTAATTTGAAAACTTAATTCCAGATCAAAGACCCAGTTTTCCAATTTAGATTTTTTACACAAATGAGCTTTTTTTTTTTTTTTTTTTTAGCTTATTTGTATAAACTTGTGAGCAGAGAAAATTTTACATTCAATTTTTTGGAAGCAAAAAATGTACAATAAGTTGCAACATTGCATCATTATTTACAAATAGGTATTTCTTTTCTTTGTCCTTCTGCCTAAAATATTTTTTTCTTATCTAAACTCTGTAGTGCACTGGTGTACTCTTCCTTCACTAGGGAATTTTCTTTTTAGTCTGTGCACTGATGCTCAAAATCAAATGCTATTTTCCAGGAAATATAATCTAGAAATGCAGTGGAGAAGCTATAAGAATAGCCATTATTTTGTTTTCTCCAATGGTATGTACATTTTGATTTCTCCATTTCTGATCTGCTTCATACACAGAAGACATGCTCTCATGGAGTTTAAGACTCAGCAGCTAACTTCAGAGCCACAAGTACAAAACTTGTCTTCTTAGTACATGCAGTATTTTCTGTTAAAAGCTACAGAATATGATGGTGTTTAAGAAGTCTCACATTGTGAGAGTAAAGCTTAGAAAGACATCTGCTCTCTTACACTCACAGTCGTATGAGAATTCTAAATGAGGTTCAAAGAAAAGCCTCTTGCACTCAGGAGACCTTTAGGCACATACCTTATCGTCTGTGAAATGCAATGGGAAGCTCCCGGCTGGGAATCAGTATTCCTGAATGGAGTGTTTCTACTGGTTTGTCATCAGTTGCTACAATTTCGTATTTGCGAATGAGCTGAAACACAGACATTTTGGTCAGCATGATTTGGCTTCTAGATTTTCTCATTAGGTTACGTGTTGAACGACCAGGCATTGTGTATGGAATACCATTTTAGAGTATTTACCCAGCAAAGAGCCAAGTGAAGCTGTAGCTCTGCAACGCGGCGTCCAATGCACATCCTCTTCCCAATGCCAAATGGAACATGAGAAAATGGATTTATTAAGTTTTTCTGAAACCAGCGCTCTGGTTTAAACTGAGTCCAGCTATTAAAGTACTCTTCATTGCAACCCAAGGCATGGCTATTTATCATTAGTATGGTCTATAAACAAAGCAATAGAAAGAGAGTCTCATTACAAATTGGCTTAGAGCTACCAAGGGAATCAGTCTGTTAATGGAACAAAGTAGTTCAACAGTAATGGTGAGGCAGTTTCCTCAGAAGATGTTGTGTAATTCTCTGAAGATTAATTCCAACACCAAAAAGGTTATAGTTTTCCCAGAAAATCATGGGAAAGTTTGACAAAAAAAATCTGAAGTAGCACATCTAACTATTTTTGTTTAACTCCAAAAGCAGGACAGACAGGTATGGTTTTCCACTCATGGGAATTCTTGGTGCAAATTCCCCATTCCTTATCCTGGGAATCAACCTTTGGCAAAGTCATTTTGACTTTGAAATATGGTCATTTGACTTTGAAATATGGTCACTGAAATATGACCAACATCAGTGGTTTATAGGACAGTTAATCAATGACAACATATTCTAGTAAGCTAAATTAATTTGACTTACTCCTTTGGGCAGCTGATAATCTCCCAGAACCATTTCTGTGTCGATGGTGCGAGTGGTAAATGGCACCGATGGTGTTAGTCTACAGCGAAAGAAACAAAATGGGTTAAATTTCCAGCATTTTTTCTTCCTGTATCTATCATCGTTTCCCTTAACCAGAAAGGTGAATGAAATTATACATACTAGAAAATTTTCTCCCTAGTACACACTGGTTGGTAAAAACCTTTGTGATCATTTTGCTTTTTGCAAATTATTTGAGAACTTTACCTCATGGATTCCTTCAGACATGCTTTTAGGTAAGGCATGTTTTTCAGGTTCTCAGCACTTGGACCCTCATCAGCAGCCAAAACACTCTGTATTTCCTGGAAAAGCTTCTGCTGAACGTGTGGATTGCGTGAAATGTTATACAAAGCCCACAGTAAACTATTAGCTGTCTGAAACAAAGCAAAAAAAAATGCAAAGCCTCCATTTGTGGTGACAGAAACATGAAGTTTCCAGAAGTTCAAAGCAGCCTCTACAGCTGGTCACTGTTTTGCAGTATTTTGTAAGCCTAACGGGTTATGAGCCATCCCAGTTGTTCTCTAGGAATAACGAACAGAAGGAAGAATTTAGTGATTTCAGGTAAAAATTCACTTGCACACAGGCCACCAAAGGCACTACAGGCTGAGCTCACTCTCAGATGTTGTGATGGTTAGGTGATGGAAGAAAGCAGGGAGTTGGAAGGGTGCTAATTTTAGCGAGCTCTTGTAAAGGCAGGATTACCGTTTCAACTCCAGCAATCTGGAGCTCTGCGATGGCAGCGTACAGTTCCTTCTTGGAAAGTTGTCCTCCAGAATAGATGTCACACAGGAAATCCTCCTGAGGGTTTGCAGAGTGTTTTTCCAGTCGACAGTCAATGGAGTGCTTGGCTGAGGAGGGAGGAGCAGGAGGTGATTAATGGAAAATCACTAAAAATACTGCACAAATAAAAGCACAAGCATGTATCACATGCAGGATTTTGGAAGAAGATACCAAGCTGTGCTCTTTTGTCAGACAATGAGCATTATACTGAATAAATAATGGTATTTTCACCTTTCAGACAAAAAAAGAAAACCAATCACAAAAATCACTTCTGAACAGAAGGAGCTTCTGCAAACTATTAGGAATTCTGCTTTCTTAAATTAGCAATGGAAATCACTGATGTGTTGACTGAAATATTTAGCAAACAGGAATACAAGCATGTAACATTTATTAGCTTGGATTTTCAAAGGGGATCAAGGTGTTAGAAAAATCAAAGAGACTTAGCACTGACTCCCTGCGGGGAAATTGAAGCCTTTGATTTACTAAGGGAAGGCAAAAATACACGCCAAATTTCTACATTTTGTTTGTTTTATATATAGAGGACTAGACTTTGCCCACCCTTTCTCATGAATATCCCAGCTGTTAGGAGCAGTTCCTAGTAAGGAGCTCTTTCTGTCAGGAGAAGGTGTCAAATTGTTTTTTCTGGACAAACCTGGTTTCAAGTGTCCTTCCTAAAGCCCATAAACTAAGAATAAATGCACGTGTGGCTGGCATAACCCAAAGTCCTGATGTATCAAATACCTAAGAGAAATATATCACTCAGCATCTCAATCACGCAAGTTCCAAACCCTTTCTCAATCTTTAGCTATAACTGTCACTATCTAGAAAAATATTGAAAAAGAGAAACTGAACTTCGTATCTAGAGTTAAGAGTAAATTTGTAATGTGAAGGCAAATTCATCTTAGAGAGAAAATGTTGTCAAGAAGCCAAACTGTACCTAATGATTTAAATTACTGATTCTTGTAGGAGTTAGGACTATATTCCAGGTTGTTCAGAAACCCTATAATTTCTCTCTTTTTTTGCTTTATTTAAGCAAACAGGCTTTTGTTGCATGTAAAATTCTTGTTTCTCAAGAAAATAACTCTCTTCCAGGTGCCTTTGAGAGCAGTCTCTTTTCTCACCCGTATACCTCACCTTTAAAGAGTTTATACACTTTCTGGCTGTTTCATTTTATGACAGATTAAAGTGGACTCACAGCGTTGCTAGCTCCTAAATTTCTGAGGCTTTCCTGGGGATTGGGTATTGCCCTATGACCAGACCTAAGTGTTAGTCATAAGACAACAGTGCTCCCGTGCTTGGAAGAGCTTTGTGGTTAGCTGAAGTAAGTGCCTCAATCTGTGTTGAAGGCAGCAATGAACAGTAGCATAGGGCAGTAGCAAGTATGAAGGAAGTTAATTCCACTAAGTAGGAAGCAGAGACAAAGGGAAATGAGAGAAATTGTGTTTAAGACAATAACCTGTTTTAAATATATCATCCCATGCTTTCGTGTGAGCCTGCCAGACTTTTGTGTTCAGACCCTTGTGAAGTTCTACAGGGGTCACCATCATCATTCCAAAAGTAGCCATCATCTGTGGTGGAAAGAAAGTTTTTTAAATCTTTCTTTAATCTATCCATCTGCAATCTCCAAACATAAGACTGTAAAGTAGGAGGCAATTTTCAGGAAGTCGTGATTCTGGCAGATATTCTAACCTGGACCAAAAGGATGGGTCTCAATCTACTCAGAGAATATCCAGCTAAAAATTAAGGGCAGTTAGTGGAAGTTAGGAGACTTCTCCAGCAAGTGATTCATCCTGTTTTAGAGTGGAACAAGCCACTCTTTGACAATGCCTCTCTCTCCCTTGACAACAGATGGAGTGCCTATCCTTCAGGTGGCTAAAATTAGGCAGATACATATCACCTGAGTCCACGCTGCAGCAAAATGCACATCAGGTGTGCGTGCAGGAGTGACTAACCTCCAGCGTATTTGCATAATCCCACACAAGTCCAGGAGTTCCACTCAACAAACAGCAGTGTTGCACAACGGGTGTCTTACAGGGAGAGGGAAGTAAACCAACCAACCTGACAACTCTATTTCCAGGATTACCCTGACGTCCACACAACATTTTTCCCCCGCAGCTTCAGGCATTTTATAAATGAGACTGTCAGATGTTCAGTGCTAGCTTTGCACATGTAAGTGTCACCTTGGATGTGCAAGGCTGCTAATACACTCATAGCAGAGAAGCTTGAGTTTCTTTTTTCAGGTACCCTCTCATTAGTAATAGCAAATCAAAACAGCCCCTGTAAAAAGGCTCTTCCATACCGTTTTTACAGCCTTGATGAATTTCAAACTTTCTTCTTCTACATCCTGCTGTAGGAGACCAAACCTCTTTCCATACAGCACCAGACAGATACCTGTTGTTAAGCAATATTATAATTAAATGATATAAACAGAAGGGTGCATGGTGTCACCATTTCTCATCATGGTATAGTTTGGATTAATCTGAAAAATGTTCTATGATACACGCCTATGAGAGCAGCACTTCAAAACATCTTCTGCACGTTTGCCTCAGACCCAGGTAGCAGTATGTCTAGCTAAGATGTCCTTACAGTAGCACTTTACAAAGAAGAATAACTACATGGATCCCCTCACGAGCAGCAGATCATTCTGCCAAGCAGAGCTGGCGTATTTGGCAATGCTACTTAAGAGAACTGAGTCACAGGAAAACTGGAGCTGGAGAAGCCATCTACTCCAGCATCTTCTTGCCCTTTTGACAGCCAGAAACCACTTGCAAACACTGGCTGCATCCCACACTCCACCACTCTCCACCTCTTCCCACTTGCTTTTTGATTTTTTTTTTAAGCTGTCACTTCATATTTCTCCCTTTCTAAAAGCAGCCATCACAACAGAGTGGAAAAAAAACCACAACCAAACACTTTCTGAGCTCAGTACACAGGTTGCCGACACGAGCCAGCCAAGAGCAGATGTGTCTGGCAGAGCTTGTTCAGTTCCACACTATAGCCAACCATCCCTCCTCTTGGGAACCACTGATGCAGTTTCTTCTGCCTTAAGTCATTCCTGGCACACAGTTCCTTAGCGTACTCTGAAAGGTTTCTAAAGGTGGAGGCTCCTGTCTTGGTAACTTATTCCAGTGCTTCTCAATCCCAATGTAAACATTTAAAAGGGGATTTTCCAACCTTTGTCTACAATGAATACTCTTCACTGTTATTGGATCGGTTCATTGATCTTGTGCTGCTGCTAATTAACAACTATCAGATGGACAAAAATGGTCACGTGCTCTCTGAGCCTACTCTAGATAAATGCACTGTGATTCCCCCAAGTTTTGGATTTATAAGCCGCTTTTATGTTTGAGGTATTTTGGAAGCCACACAGATGAGCAGAAGAAGGGTCTGTATAGCTGCTGCTGAATTTTGCACTAGTACTGCTAGAGGCAGTACTAGAAGCTTTTCTGCAACCCACTTCCCATGATATCGTAGGTGATAGCTTGGAAATGATCAGCCTACACATTTCTCACTGACCATACTTTAACTGAAATGCCTTGGCAGGTACAAAATGCATATTGTTCTCAAGCAAAACCAACTTACTTTCAAATGACCATTTGTTGAATTCTGAATAGACATCTTCCATTTGTCCATCGTGGTTACAAACCTCATCTATTCTGTGCATGAAGTCTTCCAGGACCTAAGTGGTGGAGAGAAGAGAGAGAATAAAAGGGAATAAAATGACATCAACTAATAAAACCCCTTGCAATTTAGCATTTCAGCTGTCTCTTCAATAGATAACAGTCTCACAAGAGAGGAATACTTATGTTCTTTGAACAAGATTCAGTTTCCCTCTGTGTTAATATGACTGCACTTTACATGACTCTTGTTATTACTGCTTGTACATTGATGAACTGAGCTTTCCTACACAGGGATAAAACGCTTCAGTCTGATGCTGGGACAATACTGGAGTTTCGCAATCAGGAGGATTTTAAGCTGTTTACCATAGATGCTCCCCAAACTCAGTGAGGAACACAGAGTTTAAAGAGGATGAAGGGATAAAGGTAAAAAAAATGGAGTGCAAGAAAACCAAGAAAAAACTCTGGGTTTGCGGATGCCTGTATCACTGTGGAATAATCTTGCTGGTTTTGGGGAGACAGACAATGTCAACTGTGTGGTCTCGTTTTTGGTCAGACCCTGATAATCCCTTTGTCTTTATTATTCCCTGGACGATTTCAGAGTATGAACTCATGGTTTTACTGCTGTAGTCAACAGTTATCCAGGTAAACTGGAACATTTGGTCTGCCTTTATTTCCCAGGATTCCAAGGGAGTGGGACTAGAGAAAGACTTTCTCAAAGCACAGTACCTCGTTGATTGTGGTATCCAGCTTCGCGACTTCCCTGGGTTTCATCAATTTCTTTTGAAAGGCAGTTCTTACCCTCTGCCAGTCCTTTCCTTCCCTAGATTGAATTAAGAACAGCGAGGTTGGGAAGAGAAAGACTAAAAGAAGGAAGAAAGAAGAAAACAACCCCAAACCGGCAGCATGTGCATCGGCACCTCCCC